TGTGCGCACGTCGCCCCCCCCCCCTTTGCCCCGCTCAACTGCCGAGGGCACAGAAGAGTATTTTGTACGTAACTCATGGTGTACATGTTGAACAATGGTGATTGTATTCTTTAAAAGTTAGTTTTTGAATCTCACCCAAAGCTACACGAGGGCTATCTGCGCGAACTGTCCCTAACTTATTAGTGTATGACTAGAGGGAAGGCAGCTAGCTAGTCATCACCACCCACCGCCAACTCTTGGGCTATTCTTTTACCAACGAATAGTAGGATTGACCGTCACATTATAACGCCCCCACGGCTGAAAGGGCGAGCATGTGTGTGACGGGGATTCGAACCCGCGACCCGCAAATTGCGAGTCGAGCGCCCTAACCACCTGGCCATGCCGGGCCTTTTTTAAAAGAACTATTAAGATTATTTCTGCAAGCGTAACAATCCGTGTGTCTCTATGCTACATGGTTTTCCCGGTATTATGTTTCAAAAATGTTTCTAAAATTATTGGACACCCTGTATTTTATGCCCATTTATGTGATACCGTAACAAATATATACATTATTCACTTAAATATTTTTGTCCATTAGAGAGAGTATAGATAACTAAACTGAGGTACAGGTATTCTCTGACCACCTGTTTTTATTTATATTTCTTCATTCATGTCCACTGGTGGCTCAGCGGTAAAGCTGAGGGCTTACAACGCTAAAATTCGGGCCTAGGTTCCCGCGGTGGGCACAATACAGATAGCCCATTTTGTAGTTTTGTGCTTAACACGAAACAACAAACAGATATACATTGACGTTAAATTGATATTAAATACGTAGAAGAAGGCGTTAGTATTAATTAAGATTATTTCATCACTACCCCCGAAAAAGAACCGAAGTAACATGTTGTCTAAAAATTAAAAATTAGGTTGATATTTGACAAAATGATTTTCGGAGACATTATATCATTTCGCGTTTTACTCAACGTCGACGGTACTTTTTTTTTTTATTGTCTATTTGTTTGTACTTAAGCACAAAGCTACACAATGGGCTATTCGTGCTCTGCCCACCACAGGTATCGAAACCCGGATTATGGCGTTGTAAGTCCGCAGACATACCGCTGTGCCACTGGGGGGCGTTTTTTTTAACGGTACACCAAAACCTTTATATGATATCGCGTTTCACTCAACATCGACGGACTTTTTATTTATTTTTTTAACAGTATACCAAAACTGTTACAAGTACGACTTCAGTAGCATTTCAACAAGAAGTCATATATAACCGCGAGTTAACAACATGTTTTATACTTAAGTAGAATTTGATACTATTGCTAGTTACAAACAGCAAAAAAAAAAAACACGTTCGTGAGCCGAGATAAATGTTCTGTAAAGAAGTAGGAAAAAAAAGAAACCCTTGAGGTAGACTGAAAGAACGATATTAAATTGTATTATCACTGACTCCCCTCCCTTATGTATATACTAGTGTAATGGATAACTTTGTACCAAACTTTATATGAAATACCGTGTTTTGAAAAATCACGACACAGTGCAGTCAATGAAACCTTATTAATTTGTCTATGATGGACAACGTAGGTTGATGTGAAAACATTTTGTTTTCATTCTTGTTGACTCTGTCAAAAGGAGAAGGTAATATTTTTTCAGTCTCTAGCGTTGTTGAAAAACAGAAATACGTTTAGGAAGTTACGAGGTTAAAATCCGGGGTTAGAGCCCCCCTCCACCCCGCAGTGGAAAGCGCATATCCTTTTGCGTTGAAAAAATGGTTGTAGATTAAAACAATAAGGTGGCAAGAATTATGTGGTATTTATTTTCGTAACATTAATATTTAGTTTGTTTCATCATAAGACAGTTAGGGTTTTATAACTATGTGCTTCAATTGGTCTTCTTCTCAACACAAAACTGTATTCCTCAGAATTAATTGCGGCATTTGTATTTATGGCAACGATACTATAGTCCAGGCAATCTGGGGGCAAAAAAAGGTCAACCTAGGACAAAGTGAAAAAGTTTCGAAACATGGAGCATTTAATAGCCCTATATATCTCTAATATCATGTTATAAATGTAGAAATATATTCAGGGTAATAACGGGAAATACTCACTTGAGCATGACTACCGTAATGTCGCACATAACATTTATAGTGAAACGAAATGGTTGTTGGTATGATAGATACTAAAAATCAAACTAACATTCAAAGTAAAATAAATGAAACTCAGTGAGGCACGTACCAGTATCATTCCTCATATCACAAAGTTTTTGTTGATGTTTCAGTCTAAACCCCTCCCAACAACGACCCCCCCAAACAAAACAAAATGTCTCGCAGTAGTAAATCGAAAAAGTTCTTTCAAATTTTGATCGTGGGGGTGAATATCGTTTAATGGTGTAAAATGAATGAATTTATTTTCTCAAATTATAACGCTATATTTTCAAATATAGATATCCACTTATTATTTCCATAATTACAGTCATTAGTTATATAGGCTTCATTCTCGTCTTCATCAGAATTCAGTTCAACTGTAGGGCTAGAAGGGTTTGCACGTACATTCTGCACATGACATGGAGTGGTCCATTCAGTTTTATCGGCATGTACAGAGCAATGTGTGGTATCCTGTTTTACAGCTACACTCAATTCTTTCAAGAAGTTCTCGAGGGGCTGGAGGCAGGTCTGTAAGGATTGACATCATTTTCCCTTCCCTCACAGTCCAGCCCAATGTTCAGGTGTAAAACGACTGCTTTCACCCTTCCACACCTGGATCTGCTGTTATACACGGAGACTGTGGTACTTTGTGGCAGCTGCTGTTGGTGAGAGGATGTGAGGTTGAACGAACACATTGTTGGTTGTTGTATTCTCAAAGAGCCAACGGATTCTTAATTCATTGAGTCCTTTGCCAATCCCTCCGTTGTACATGCAGACAAAGGCAGTTTCTCCAGCCTTGATGGTTGTTTTCTCAAAGAGCCTACGAATTTTTAATTCATTGATTCCTTTAACAATCCGTAGGTTGTACATGCAGACAAGGCAGTTAATCTAGCTTTGATTTTATCTTCCTTCGATGACCCCCTTCATATAAACACACATCCCTGTCCCAAAAATAAGATGCCCCTCTTTATTTGGACCAGGGCTGTCTTCTTGCCGATACCATATGACCTAGATGTGCTATCGCATCCAAGAATGGCATGGACGAATAGAAAGTTGTCGCACACACTTTCATCAAAAGAAATCTAGTTGCTTTGGAATTCCAGGTTCGTGGTGCTTTTTATGCTTTCTTCTTTGGTTCAGGCTTCAAAAAGACATTACAAGCAGTGTCTTTGGTATGAAACATCAGGAGCACGAGCAGATCCGTGTCATCTCTAATCAGAACCGTGTCTGTCCTGGCAACAGACGCTATAGAATTCTGAATTATAATCAAATCAACATCCCCCATCTGCATGATACACTTCAAATCTACTTTGTTCTAACTTTTGCTCAAGCACATAAATGAAGAGTTGTTTGTTTTTCTTGCTTGAGAGGAACTCCTTTTTCTTCATCTGGAGAGTCAGTTTGGTTGCACATTACACTGTTAATCCTACACAACCATCAGTTCTCCTGGAATGCACGTAGTCTTTCGTGCTAGAATCATCACTGTAACCATCAAATACTTTAACAGATTGACCGTATCTGCTTCCAAAATAATGTAAATACAAGTTGCAGATGTTCTCGCAAGTGGTTCCCATCCTCCATGGTATGTGGTGCAGTAAAGCTCCTCCATCGATAACATATTGAATTTGGCCACTTTGAACAGAATTAACTGTGCGTGTTCAAGACCACAATGTATTTCAAAGAGTCGACTTATTGGCTGGCCTTATAACGTATCTGGATTCAAATACGGCTGATGTATAGGTGCATAATTCATACTCGAATATTTCAGACAAATCACTACATCTAATGCCAGCTGTTATCAACCGTTGGAAAAGAAGCTGAGGGTCCACATGCACCTCCTCGTCCCGGATCTTGACACATGTCTTAACATCCATTTTGACGGCTTGGGTCTTTTTTCGAAATGTATAATCGGTGACCACCTTTCCTTCCATTGATGTCAAGATGCTTTGACCCACAACTTTCACGTCATAAGCATTTACAGATGAACTGACTGTTACACATGTTGCTATATTTATTAAAGTTGGCTCTGAGCTGAAGGAGTTTCGTTGTACTAAGTAGCTTAGATGGTCCTGTGTGCCAATCATATCCTTTTGAAGCCTTGTGGACATAAGGTCTTTGTGTTGATCACCGGTAGAATATGTGACAGAAGTAAACTCTTGCATGGTATTATTGATCTCAGCACATGCTGGATTTAATAGGATCCAAAACAGATGTTGCATTTCTGTCATGACCCGACCTCTTGTCAGCTCTCCTGTTGTCTTAGCACTACACATCACACACTGCTCAATAACTAGATCTAGCGAGAGTCCTGTCTAGAATGTCTAACGAGAGTCCTGTCCAGGGTTTCTAACGAGAGTTCTGTCCAGGATTTCTAACGAGAGTTCTGTCCAGGATCTCTAACGAGAGTCCTGTTCAGGATGTCTAACGAAAGTCCTGTCTAGGGTGTTTAGTGTGAGTTCTGTCCAGGATGTATAACGAAAGTCCTGTCTAGGGTGTCTAGCGTGAGTCCTGTCTAGGGTATCTAGCGCGATTCCTGTCCAGGGTTTCTAACGAGAGTCCTGTCAGTGTGTACTACGCGAGTCCTGTCCAGGTTCTCTCTGTTCTGCAGACAAACGAGAGACTTCAGTGAAGTCTTGTAAATATGTGGATGTTGCTGTAAAGTAAGCTGTAAAGTAAGAAGTCCATTTGACAAGGACTCGTTACAAAATATACAATTTTACATCTCGTTCATTACTCAGTACGATCTGAAAGTAAGAAAATTAATGAATGTGGATCTACACTAAACATTTGTTTCACCATAAATAAATTGCCTGAAGGTACAGAGGCCATCTTGATTCAGAAATGTTGCATCGCTGACTGTAGGCCCACACAGCCATATCTAATTGATATAATAACAGGGTCAAAATTATAACTCACTCTGAGTACCTTAGTTTTTATTTCGAAATGAGACTTAATGAAAACTGATGAACATTTTGGTATTGATAAAATAAAACTAACATATATATCCTTTTAAGGGTGTATATCTCTCAATAATGTTACCTTCATTTTAAAAACTCTTTTTCGTTGGAATATTCTGCTTGCACAGGTCACAAATATAATATTGTATATGGATAAACTATCAAAATATTAACTTTTGTTACAAATAGTACCATAAGTTAGTTTCATTATTCATATCTAACATCAACGTTCTCACTGTGAAATACAAGATCCTTACAATGAAAAATCACGAACTAAGCACTAATTAATAATTCACAATTTATGACATGTTCCACTAAATATATTCAAGTGTATTTTTAATATGGTCATCAAGTATACCTAGAGGGTCAAATAAAACACACATATGAAAACTTTTGCAATTTGTCATGGGTATATCCGCAGATTTCCTGTACTACTAGAGCTAATTGCCGCTATCCCTAATTCTGAGCTCCTGACTGGAGGCAAGGTAGCCATTGAACAGCGCACTACCATCCACCATCCACGTTAAAGGGACTGACTGTTGCACTTATCACACACGGGGCAGCATGGCTCTGTAGTTTCTCGCTTTGGACTCGTAGATGGATGGTTACGAGTTCGAGACATTTTATCCCCCACTTGTTCCAGTCTAATCAGCTGTTAGTTAATGGTTAACGTATATCCCGCCCAGGGGCAATGTTTATAATTATTATCTGATTGTGCTAATTAAGCTGGAACTCAGCACCAGATCCTATGTGCCATTTCTGCATGGAAGAGATTTGACCTTACTAGCTGGAGTACCTGTCCATTGGACAGGTGAAGTAAAAACTCGTTTGTAATAAAGGATAGGAAATTGTGCTTCAGTTATGTTTCTTAACATAATAAACATTTAAAGTACAATAAAAATACATAAATGTACCAATACTGAATAGAAAGACATATATTTTTCAAAAATTCTAACAATAGTGTTTATATAGTTCATTTTAATGCTGAGGGATATACAACATTGGTAGTTTTCCCGAAATTAGATGGGTGGGGTTAAACCCCCCATGACCTTCCTCATGTCATCCTGTATCAAGTTTGGTGCTGATTGATTAGGAAATGTGGAAACGTATAAGGAATAGACACACACACACACATACTGACATTTCTTTATATAGATGACATACACAGAGCTTAAAGTGCATGGAATATTTTGTAGTATCACATAGATTCGAACTCTTCCACATTTTCAGCCCGCGCCCTATTAACTGTGGCGTTGAAGAGCAAATAATGTGATATATTTTTCTTTGCATTAATATCTTATTTGTTACATCGAAAAACTGTGTCATCGTTGACTGGTTTTCACTCAGCCATTCTTTGTTTACATAAGCTATATATCTCAGAATAAAATGTGGCGTTGAAGTACCCTACCAGAGATTAAAGCACTGTATACAGTCTGGAGTTTCCGTAGTACTGCTAATGTCTTTAATGTATTGGCTACTAATTTTGAAGTAGAACTGTTGATAATATAGACTGGTTAATTATAATATTACTGTGCTAGTTAGCATATGTTTAATACTAATCATTATACTGCTGGATACTATCGAGTTAATACTAATCACTATATATTAAATACTATTAACTACTGTGCTGAATATTGTCTATTAAATATTAATCATTACTGTGTTGAATACTATACATTCAATATTAATTATTACTGTGTTGGAGATTATACATTCAATACTAACAACACAGATCTGCAAATTTAAAATGTTTTGGTTTTAACAATGGATTTTCCATAATTCAGCTACGCAGATAACATTCATTTTATCTAAGAATTGTTTTACAAATCGAAAATAAAATAAACTTACTTAGATAAAATTATTATTTCATTTACCACAATTAACATTTTTTATAATTGTGTTTGTTAACAAAAATACAAACAAACTAAAGAAAAGGGAAGGATATTGATGTCAAACGAATATGCATCCTCATTCATCCTGATTTTTTTTGTGTGAAATCTACAACTTTTAGTCTCAAAATTATATGTTGTGGTCTTTTTTTTATGTATTGTGTCTGGAGCATCTCGTTTCAGTGACCAGCAGTAATCAGCCATCATGCTGATGTTCCACCTTCCCTGATACATCTTCTCCATTTACCAGATGTTTTGATGAAACCTTTCCCCTTGTTCTTCGCTGATGGCACCGAGATTTTCAGGGAAACAGTCAATATGTGAGTGTAAGAAATGAACTTTCAAGCTTATATTACAACCCAACTCTTTGAATTTATCGAGCATGTTATTGACAATATTTTCGTAATTTGGGTCCTTGTTGTTTCTTAAAAATTTTGTCAATAACATCTTTAAAGGCAATCCACGCTTCTTTTTGAACTTTCGTCATTGTCCTTTCGAACTGTTTATCCAAAGTCAATTTCCTAATCTGAGGCTCAACAAAAATCCCTTCTTTAAGTTTCGCTTTTGAAAGAGCTGGGAATTGCCCACACAGATACTTGAAACAGTCACCATCTTTGTCTAAGGCCTTTACAAACTTTTTCATCAAGCCCAGTTTTATATGAAGTGTAGGTAATAGGACTTTCTTTATGTCAACCAAACTTTCACGTTCAATGTTTTTCGATCCTGGTATCTGGCTGGCTCTGCGTGGCCATTTATTCTTTATCCAGTGCTGATTTCGTGCTCTGCTGTCCTATTCACACAAAAAACATGGAAACTTTGTATAACAGGATTGTTGATCCAACAACATATAAAGTACTTTTAAGTCTCCACAAATTAGCCAACAATATTTTTTGTATTTGACCTTATTAAGAAGAAGTTCGAGATTTTTTACTTTTAGACTTCTTTTGGAGGAATCAATGAACAATCGCCACTCACTCAGTTCATAGACTGCAGCTCCTAGCATTGGTATTAATTAGCAATATTGTTACAATAAATCAGTGAACCTTCTTGCGAAATGCATAGTATAAACTCTTTCTCACGATTTCTATACCAGTTAAATGATGTCCCTGGAGAAAGAAAGTTCTTAGGCCGAAGTCTGGACCCCAAAATCTCTGAAGAATCCTCTGGAAGGCCCAAATCACTCACCAACTTATTAAGCTCACCTTGTGTGAAAAGTTGTGGTTCACCAAACGTTTCAGGTTGAAAACAATCCCTATCGTCATTTCTATTGACATCAGATTCAGAATCAGATGAAACTGTATCAAGAGTCTCCAGCAGAGTAGGTACAGGCACATCAGTATCATGAGCAACAGGTCTTATAGCAGATTGAAGGTTCGGAGAAATTTCCTTTTTATTTCAAGTGTTGTAGCCTTGCACATTACATGAGCAAAAATAGCAGTCATCTCAGTGGATTTTAGGCTCACGCCAGGTCACTGGAATTCCAAACGGCAAATACTTTTTTTACCTTAAGTCCATTTTCTCACCTCTTCGACACAAACGGTGCACATTTTGTGCGAAGCCCATGATTTGTCTTGATCCCCAAGGTTTATTACAAAATACGCGTAATACGCTTTTTTTAAACAAATTCTGTAATGTTTTGCCTCTGTTTCTTTACCACAACTATAGCAGAAATGATACGTCCTGTGGCCTGTTAACCGTTTATATACTAGCGATGTGTTTTTCGTGGGTACTAGAACGATTGATAAGACTCTCACATCGCGTTTGGCCTAGTGAAATATATAACTAGTGGTTGTCAACAGTTTAATCATAACAAAATGTGGCCCGATTTTAATGAAAATGATTCACTTATGTAAAAGTACATATGACGTTTTGTGAAAATTCTGTACCTGATGGAGAAAAACGAATATCATATTCCGAGTCAGCGTACAGGAATTACTACTGTAGAACATGTAAACATTTTTTCAAGATAATAAAACCATCGCAGACCTATGTAATTACTGTGTTGGACATTATACATTCAATACTAATCATTACTGCATTGAATGCTACACATTCAATATAAATCAATACTGTGTTGGATACTATATATTAAGTACCAATTATTACTGCATTGAATGCTATATATTCAATACTAATCATTATTGCATTGAATACTATACATTTTATACTAATCATTGTTGTGTTGGATACTATACCTTCAGCACTAATCATTACTGTTTTGAATACCATACATCCAATACTAATAATTACTGTGCTGAATACTATACATTTAATACTAATCATTACTGTGCTAAATACTGTATATTGAATACTGATCATTACTGTGTTGGATATTATACATCCAATACTAATAATTACTGAGTTGGATGCTATGCATTCAATATTAATCATTTCTGCGTTGGATGCTATGCATTCAATATTAATTAC